TGAGCTGCCAACAGGTGGCAGGATGGCTCAGCTGGTGAGAGTACATGCTCCTAACAACAAGGTTTCCAGTTCACTCCCGCGTGGGATGGTGGGCTACGCCCACCCACGACTAAGACTGAACACAGCACCTTGAGCTGAGCGACCATGAGCTGCCAACGGGCAGCCAGATGGCAACTGGACTTGGAGCTGAGCTAGCTGTGCCCTCCACAACTAAGATTGAAGGACAACAATTTGGCTATTCCCCTTTCCCAATTCCCCAGCACTGTTCCCCTTTCCCAATTCCCCAATAAAATCTTTAAAAACAAAAAATGTCGAGTACTGAACCTAGTAGAACAACACTTGTTAATTCCACAATTAACAAGTCCAAGCTATTGGTGAGCTAGAGGAACGCTTTCCTTTGTGATGGGGAGTGTAATGTGACATTTCAATATTGTATTTGATTATACAGTCGCTCCTTACAGTCTCACAGAGTCATTCTAACGTGGGGGTCCTCAGCTTCCTGGCAAGCCTGGACCAGCTGAGCATGGCAGCTACAGTGTCCTCGCCCTCTGGCCAAATCATGCTCCCAAACAGTGCAGATATTAGGACAGAAATGACATCATGGATTTTATTTACCGTGGCTTATCTTCAATGACCTGAGTCAAGACAGTCTGTCACTTCGATTTGCCACAGAATAAAAAATGGCTCTGGAGTCAGAACAACCTGGATTCCAATATTCCCAGCTCTGCCACTTGCCAGCGCTGTAATCTTAAGTGAGCGACTAACTTAACCTTTCTGGAGTTCCCTCTTTCTCCTCTGTAATATAACAGTGACAGTAACAGGCACCTCAGAGGACTCATGAATATCAAATAGATGACCCATATGAAGCATTTAAGCCTGGACCTGGACCGCAGTAACCCCAAATAAATTTAGCCATTAACAGATCTCTTTTAGGCCTATTTGGTCTTAAATCAGGTTACTATAAACTTTTTTTTTTTAAGCCGCTGTTTCAAATAAAGATCTCTTGCCTATGGCTTAGCCTTCACTAAAGTTCTAAGTTAAGCTTGTTTATAAGAAAATTGTATCTGTTGTTTTGAATGTAGTTCCCTCAGATGCTTTTTCTTTTAAGTGAAAGAAAAAAACATTTTATATACTGGTACATATTTTTTTTTAAGTCAATAAGATTATAGTATAAAATAAGCTTTGGGATTGCTATACAACAGGGCTGGCAAGCATTTCCAGTAAAGGACCAGATAGTAAGTATTTTAGGCTTTGCAACCACACGGTCTCTGTTGCAACTACATAGCTCTGCAATTGCATTGCAAGAACAGCCCTAGACAAGAGCACAAATAAATCGGGCATGCTTGTGTCCCCATAAAACTTTACTAATGGACATGGAAATCCGAATTTCATATAATTTTCATTACATCATGAATTAATATTCTTCTTTTGATTTTTCCCCCCAACCATTTAAACATATAAAAACCATTCTTAGCCGTCAAACTATACAAAAACAAGTAGAGAGGCACCTTTAACCCATAGTTCTATCAATTGCCAACCCCTACTATACAAGAATAATGAGAGATGTGGAAAGAGGTACGGATACCTACAGCAAGTTATAAAATATGTTGGGAAACCACATTAGGATTTTAGCTTAAAACGATTTTCTATGAAACAGAATTTTGTTAACCTTAAACCACATTTAAATATCCTGCTGTGAAAACCTATGTACGCAATAATTCCATGATAATACAAAATAGCAAAATTAAAAATCTTTAATAAATTTTTATGAAGTGTAATGGAGATTTTTGAGTTGAATGAATATTTTGCTTTTTCTAAGAGATGAATAATAAACTAAATTGTTGCAGCCTATTGGTAGGTGAATGTGTTAAATATCCTGAATATTTAAAAATTTAAGAGCTGCACCAATCCTTCCCTGGGGGTGGGAGGATGGGGTGGGGGTGTCCCTATTCCAGGGTCAAGCCCTACAGCATGGCCTGCAGCGCCCAAGCCTCTTGTGTTCTCAGGGGTGGGGGTGAAGGCTCAGGCCTGGACTGAGCTTTGGGTACAAGACTGCAGTGACCAGGACCTACCCAGTTTTGTCATCTTCACCTGACTTCACCCAGCGGGTCCCCCAGCCCCAGGCACAGAGGCCCCCTTTTGGAGCTTAGTATCCTGTGCCCTCCCTGAAGTACCCCTCCCCAGGGAAAGATGACCAGGACAGATCTGGTGTGGGGTACCCGGTGGGGAGCTCAAGTCCTTCCAGTATTTTCCAATGAGCGTTGAGAATCCCACAGAGGGGACAGGGACACAGCTGGTCACCATGGGTGACTGCAATCAACAAAGATGGATAGAAGAACAGGGACTGAGGGCCCCAAGGAAAGAGGGTTCCTCCTGCACCACCACCCTGACCTGCCTAGAGCAGCCTGGTGGAGGCTGCAAGCAGGGGGAGGATGCACTTAATGGGCCCAAGAAACCCGTAGCTAGGATCCCAGTCATCACCACTATCCTGGCAAAGCCTGAGGGACCCCTTTGCATCCCAACTACCATCATCCCTAGGTTCGGAACAGGGGCGCTGGGCTTGAGTTTCTCACTTGACCTGTTTCTTTCTTTCACTGGAGACCGGGGGTCTTTGTGTCCCTTTTGCCTCCTAAGACTTTGTCCTTCCTTTCCCAGCCCGCATCACGTTATGGGTGTGGAAAAGGAGCAGAGTCCTTCAGCTTCTCCCGCTTTCAGAGGGGACTATTTTCAGCTCCTTGTCTTTGAGTGACAGGATGTCTGTGGGGGTCAGAAATAGGCCCCAACTGGCACTGACTCCCTGACCCCTCCTTGCCTTCCCTAGCTAGTGTCACCTCCCAGAGGGGGACAGTGATGGCAGGTGCAGGCGTTAGGGAGCCACACAGAAGGGGCTGGGGATGGGCGGGGCCAGAGCCTAATGAGGAACGGAAGACCCTCGCATCCCAGAGTTCAGCTTGGCCCCGAAGGGCAGGCTGGGGACTGACCTGGGCTGGCTGCCTCTCCTCCTCTCCCTCACATCCCACCCGGTGGCCCCAGCTGTTCTCCCCAGTGAGTACTCTGGAGGCAGTTTGCTGGTGGTGTTGGAACTGACAGCCCCTGGTGAAAGACAGGCGTTCAACGGGGAGACGGGAGATGGGAAAGAAATACGAAAGAGAACTTGTCAGAGGGTGGAAGAGCCCTGGCAGGGGTGGAGCTGGGAGGAAAGCAGCACCTGGGAGTCTGGAGACCTGGGTTTTGCTCCCAGGTTCACCACCAAGGAGCTGGTGAGCCACTGGACTTTTCTGAGGAAGTTTCCTAAACGCTATGACAAGGAGATTGCAATAGCAATTTAGCCTACCTCACAGGACACATGTGAGATGATAGATGGAAAAGTCCTCAGAAAAGACAAGAGCGGTGTTAGATAAGATGAAAATGCCATTATTAGGGGAACTGGATGCGAGGCAAGACTGGATGAGAACAAGAGGTACACTAGGATGCCCTAATGGCAGGCACGGATGCAGGGGGGATTCAAGGGCTGTGGGAGGGAAGGCGTGGAGGCAAGTGATTGGGATGGGGCCCAGAAAGCACCTTGCAGATTCCCAACTTTGGAACCCCCAGCAGTGAGGAGGGAGAAGGAACGTCCCCTTGCCCCCTTTCTCCAGCGTCTCCAAAGCCTCAGTCACCATGTACAGGTCCCCCCAACGCCCCTGAAGCTTCTTCAGTTTCCTGTGGTGGGTAAAGTGGGGCCCTTTTCCTGTAGGCATTTGGCTCCCTCGGTTGCACCCCTGTGTCCACCCTTGTCCTACCCCTCCTTCATCCGTTGCCTCTGTGTGTGTGTGTGTGTGTGTGTGTGTGTGTGTGTGTGTGTGTCAGAGAAGGGGCCCTAGTGCTGGCTCTTCCCTGACTTCCTGTGGACCTTGGGCAAGTCACCATCACCCTCTAGGCCTTTTTGTAAAACAAAGACCCCCGTAGCTCGGATAGCCTGTGGGGCTCTGGGTGGGGGCATGCCCCTAGGTGCCTCCTCTCACAGGGCCTGGAGTCCTCAATCTGCCTCCCCACCCCACTCTGTAGCTCACCTCTTCTTAGGGTTTCTAAATAGATCATTCACCAAGCTGAGGTTTTTAATGTCCAGGGAGCTTTGACATTTGCTGCTAGCTGTGACAGATATACACCTGGAGCCCTGTGCAGTCTTCGTGATCTTGGAGTCCTTTCTTGGTTCTACAGGAAGCCTGTCCTTGAAAGAAACCTTCCTTGATTGACTGTGTGATACATTGACCTGATCCTAAAAGTGAGTGAGAACTAAGGGTTGACCTCAAACATTAGTTTTAGTATGGAGAGTTGAGGGGTTTTCGTTAGTGTTCTAAAAAAGGAAGAGAGTAATTGTCATAAGTGCAAAAATGAATATTATGACTTGGAGAAGATAAACTGGATTCCAGACACCTGAGGCAGACAAGTGGGTGTGGTGGTCGTAGGGTATTAAATGAGGACAGGAAGACAAGAACGGAAAAGAACCATGATGTGCTGCCTCCAGGAGCTGGAGCCATCCTCACTAAGGCAAAGTCCTGTCATGCCCAAAATAGACTGGGCTTTCTCTGCACGGCCCCAGGGACAGATCTTGGCCCCATGAGAGGAAGGGGCAAAGAGGTAGGCCAGGTAGAATGAGCAGTTTCCAATGGTTGTGCTGCATTATTTATTCCTGCCCTGATAGGAGGGGAAACTTTTTCAAATGCATCACCCGCTTCCTGTCCCTGAGATACTCCGAGATTTGACTTTTTTTCTGGGAACTCAAAGTCAAAGTGATTAATACTCATTTTGCCAATGCCCAAAGGCCACTATGAGGTAGGGAGAATTATTTTTTCACATTAGGCCATTTAGAAGACACTAAAAGGCCCTACTGCAATGTTTTCTGAGTTCTTATAGATACTTTTAATAACATCCCTCCCAACTGCCAGGCTGTTGTTTCTCATTGTTATAATTCTGACTCTGTAACTTTTTTGCTACTTCAGAAAAAAATTTAAAACATGCACATTCACACTTTTATTTCTGAAAGGTGAATCATTTCGAAATTATCAAATGTTACAAAATTTTCTTAATGTTTGTAGTATAAGAAAAAGGTGAATATAATTTACATATAAATACATACAAGATATCAGTAAAAATATTATAGCTGATAACCCCAATACTTAAAATATTTTACCAAAGCACTGTTGTACAAGTCATTAAACACTATAATATAGTCTTAAATTATTTTTCCTTCAAATACAAGTCATTTAAAAATAAAAAGTACTTTATTTAAATAGAATACAATGTCAAGTCACATTTAATGAACTCTTTGCATGTTTCATATCCAAAGTCATTTTCATATCCAAATGACCATATGGTCATGTTCATCCAGTTTTAATTTTAAAACATATCACATGAGAGCTTTATTCTTTTCATTGATGCATGGTTAATAATACCAGAAAACCTGTCTTCTCTGAAAAAGAAAATCTTCTCATTATTATGGAATCTAATGAAAGTATAAATAAGATAGTTGAAACCTGACATAGACATTAGTTTCCAGAAAGAATAAATTGAAACATAAAGGGAAAATGTTAAAACCATTTTATGTTTTCAGTACAACAGACCATTATTTTCAATTTCCTGAAACTGGATATAGGGAAAGCTGAAAAAGATTTTCTCTTTATTAAAAGGCATAATATAATCCTTTGAAAGATCCTTTATCATATAAATCTATACCTGAAGAATCCCACATCTAATAAAAAAATCATGCAGGTTCACTAAAACGTGAATTTGTACCTACAATTGTTGGGTAGTTTTTATAAAAATAAGGTTTCCTTAGGAAAAAATTTCTGCTAATTGGAATATCTTCATTCTGGTGGGGGGAAAAAAACAGCCTTTTTCCTCTGAAGATAATGAAGTTTAGTCCCTGGCTACATGAACATTCACTGACTTATTCAAATGAAAACACATTATTGTGCTTCTAGAAACTAGTTTCTTTCACGAGCACAGTCTGAGATAGCTTCTGAAAACTATCACCAAAATGTTAACATTCACAAACATCGGTGAACAAAACTGGACCTAGTGAATCAGCTCCACTACCATTAAACGCGTCTGTCCAAAGGGACAGGTAAGTGATGGCTTCCGCAGTCCTGTCACATCCTCTAGGGTCTTCTTTTTCCAACCATATATTCACAAATGTTTCAGTTTATATTTAAACTCGATATCGTTTAATGGTGGTAAAACGCCCAAGCCTGCCCGGGACTGGTCCAAAGGAGGACATTTAACGTGGCTTTCCACAAGCTCTAGTTCAAAATAGGAAAGCATCAGAACCAAAAATTGCTTGATTTCTTGAACAGCAAATAATCTTCCAGGACATATTGTAGCTCCTGACCCGAAGGGCATGTAGTAATACTTTAACTTGAGTCCATTACTATAGAAGGTGGTCTTTGTCCTCCCATTTTCATCCAGATATCGATCATATTTAAAAGTCTGCAATAAAAATACAAAGAAAAAAACCTATAAGCAGTTTTAAATAAATGTATCTCTTTGTTGACCCGGAAGCTCTAAAGAATAATTTTCTTTTTAAATTCAATTTATTAAAAATTTTGCAAATACCCCACTGTTACTCAGAAAGTAACAAGGAACAGAAGCTTAATGAAAGCTGATGGAAACAAGAAAGCTTTATAATATCTCCTATCCTGCCTGGGTGACTAGTTCCTCAGGTAGGCAGAACTAGAAAGAAGGGTTCAGATCAGAAGCTAGGAGGGTCAATATATTATCAGCCTCTAAGCCAGTGGTTCTCAACATTCCTAATGCAATTCCCCTTAATACAGTTCCTCATGCTGTGGTGACCCCCAAGCATAAAATTAGTTTCGTTGCTACTCTATAACTGTAATTTTGCTACTGTTATGAATCGTAATGTAAGAATCTTTTTGTTTTCCAATGGTCTTAGGCAACCCCTGTGAAAGATTTTATTGGGGAATTAGGGAAGGAGAACAGTGTTGGGGAATCGGGGAAGGGGAACAGACAAGTCGTTATCCTTTTTGTTGTTGTTGTTGTTCAGTCTAGTTGTGGAAGACATCACTTCACAGGCCCATGTTGGCATTATCATTGCACTCTTCCCTGGGTGAGGCAGTCGCTCGCCTGCCATTGGATGGCCGCTCACGGCGGCTCATGGCAGCTCATGAAAGTGCACACCTGCTGCCGGCCAGCCCCACTGCAGCCTACGCCATCGCTGGCGACTCACGGGTCGCCCAGCTCCAGGTCGAGCTGTTGTTCACCATCTTAGCTGTAGAGGACGCAGCATCACTGGCCCTCATGTGGGATCTGAACCGGGGCACTGCTGCTCAGAGCTGACGTCCCAAGCCAACTCTTAACCAGCGCACCACTCGGCCGGCCCTAAGCCTTTAATTTTTAAGGAAAAGGGTAGGTAGCAGCTTTATTATCATAACTGCAAATATATTCTAGCACAGATTATGTGATGACAAATATGAGGGAAAAAAATGAAAAATTCAGGCCATCACTCAAGTTTTCTAAAGTACATGAATGTTTGACATAATAAAGGAGATAATCCCTATGGCTTCAATGACCAAATCAATTCTGCAATGGTGAAATTCCTCTTTATTTCCATCAGGGTAGACATCACCTGGATATTGAACTTTGATGAACAGGCACTTACCAAAGGATCTGGGTAGATTGCTGGATCTAAATGCATTAACTGTGGATAAAGAGCTATGATGTCATCTTTGCGGATATTATAGGAACCATCCTGGAGGTGCAAAGTGAAATCTTCTTTAGCAGTCCGGATGTTCAGGGAGGCACTGGAAAGCCTCAGAGACTCCTTGATGATACTATCTAAATATTTTAAAAGGAAGAAGGGAGGAGAGGGAAAGAAAAAGAAATAACAAATAAAGTATTTAAAGGCTATATAGTATATGGTCTGAAATGCTTCTAGCAGCCTATAACACAAAGCTAAACAGACTATAGGAAGCTGGCCAGATCCAAATTTCCCAAAGTTTTCTCTGTTACCACTATGGTGTGATCAGTCACTCAGTTGTGTCTGAAAGTATTTTTTAAAGTGATCATCTGAGTCCAGAATAATCTTTTGATAAACACATAATCTTCTGGGTCATCAATGGAAACTGGACTTTCATAATTTTATGGAACAATAATCTTATTTCTACATGACACTGGACAATACAATTGGGAAAATCAGTCAATCACTTTTACGTGAATTATTCAAAGTTTGTCACTTTTGAGATCTAATATACTGATAACGCTTTCATTTAGAAACATTTTTCCAGAGGTCTGATGCAGCTTCATCTCAGTGTTTACGAACCCTTTTTTATCAATACACTATCTGATGTATGGTAATGCCCTGCTGCCTGGTAAAGAAGTAAAGGGACAGAAAGAACCACGCTGAGAATAACTAAAATGCACAGATCTAATGAGAAAGTCCAGCCTAACCTTCCAGCCTCTATCGTTTTGTCATGTTTTGGGTGCTCATCACATGATTGTGTGTAAAATCACAGCATGTTAGCTCTTTATTTGACAAATGAGAAAAGTAAGGCCCCCAGAGGTGAAGTGACATGTCCAAGATCTCCCGTGGCAGGGCAGAGCTCAACATGGAACCTGCGCTTGTTGCCTCCTGGTCTCTTCCACTAAGACACACTGCCCCTAAAAGCATACACTCGTTTCTTTCCTCTAGACAAAAACAAAACAAAAAAAACCTCTTTCTTACTATAACAATATAGTATTGTTTTGTATTTCTATTAAATGTAGAGAAGCAAATATAAGAAAAATAAAATAACTTTCAAGTGCATCACCTAACCCATGCAGCTAATTATAGTTTCTTGATGGTACTTTTTTCCTCCTTGATTTTGTGAACATAAGTGATATGCTCCCATTAACCATAAAATTAGTGGTAAGAGTAAAACAAAGGAGACAGAGTAGGGTAATGCAAAGTGGTTGAGAGTATAGGATCAAGGGTCCCACATTAACGCTGTAATTGGTTCCATCATTCAATCCCAGACAGTAACTTAAACTTGGTCAGTTTCCTCACTATATTATGTAGAAATAATAATAGTCTCTAGTCAGAATTTCTGTGAAAATCAAAAGCGAAAAGACGTACAAAATACTTAGCATAATGCCTAGAACAAGTATGTACATAATATATACTGGCAATTACTATTAGTAGGACAGAGTAAGTGAAATGTAACATAGTAAGCATACCTAGCACCGGCATGTCATTCAGTTGCATTGGAGTCAAACAAATAGGATTGTCTTCAAAGCTGACTTTTTTACCAGCATTCTCTAGTGTTTTATTCACTTCTTCAGTAGCTGCTTTCATTGCTTCAGGGCTCCTATTAAAAGTGAAAAGAAAAGACGTACAGAATATAACTTTTTTCTACACAAAAAGATATGCAGATTATAGCATGAGAAAGTACCGTGAGTCTTTTATTTTCTTTCTTTCAATAGTTGAATTTCTGCCTTCTACTAAAAGATAGTAATAACTGGAAAAGTTGTTAGTTACCTAATCATTTGAAATAAGCTCCAGAAAGTGGCTGGAATGGTGTTTGCTTGCGATGCCCACAGGACAGCGAGTTGCGTCTTGGCCTTCTCTACGTCATCTAAGGTGAAGAGCATGTCGTTCAGAAACCTGACCAGCTCCGACATATGGTTTCTCTTTCCCAGGGTCTCGTGCCTCAAGCCCTCCGCCAGTTTTTCCCGGGCGTGGTGTGCGGTCTTGAACACATGAATGGGAACGCCTGCTACCAGTGCTGGAAAGATTTTGTCAAATTGCTTGAAGTTGTCAAGGCTATTTAGAATAAGTGCTTTTTGTGCATCTTGCCCTGTAAGATCTTTGCCAAAAAGCGTTAAATACCCAGCTTCAAACATCACTCGGTAGCAAAAGGCATACATCCCTTCTGTCACCCAGGCAGACATCTTTGATTCAGGTAGGACAGGAGGCCTCATGACAAGCTGGAGGTTTTCCATCATGGCTTCTGTGAGGGAATTCAAGGCATCGCCCTGCAGAGTTTTGACAAAAGCTTTGCTTATGTTTTCGGTGGTATTTCCATCACTCGGATCAATGCTTCTGTGTCCAAATGCCTAACAGTAAATGAAGTGGGTGGGAAAAAAAAAATTAAACCTGACCCAGTGCTAATAAATGACTGAAAAACAAACTAGATATTTTCAAATTGGGAATGTTTCATTTAAAAAAAAGTTTACCTATTAAAAAGGGTGGGGGGGGCCGGGGGGGAGGACAGGAGGACTGGCCTTCCTACATACAATTTCACAGCACTTTATTAATAAATGGCCAAATCATACCCTTCCTTTATGGCCAAATTAAATCCCAGCCCTTCAGTAAAACTTTCCTCAACCACTCTATTTGTCTATTTCTTATTTTTCTTATGCTAGAGCACATTAATTTGGTACTAATTGTTTTTAACCATTAGGGTTTTCTTATATTCTTTGTAGACTTTAATCTACTTAGAGGCAGACACCATGTCTAATATTTCTTTACAGAGACTCAGTAAATATTGGTTAATTATTTTCTCTATAAAATAGCCTCTTAGATTACACCTAAGTGATGTCAAAATATCTGGTCAATTCCTTAACCAGATTAAACAACAGTGTGGCATTAGTGTGATAAAACAATTGTTCGATGTCAAGTTCTCACCACATGCACTCTAGGTGTTGTGTAGGCATCACTGACATGTGAGTTTGTGCCTCTCTTACTCATAAAGTGCCACCTGGTTCAGTAAAATATTTAATTTTTATCTCATTGTCATCAGCTAGTTAAGAAATGACAAATCTATACCTATTTTGAATTTTAAAATGATTAGTACCAAGAAGTTTAATTTTATTCTATTTCTAAGAATCCCTATAAGGGTAACTCTTCAACGTCTCTAACTTGGGAGTACCTCAAAAGGACTAAGTAGACTGACATACAAAAAGTAGAAAACAAACAGAATGCCATATAAATGCAAAACTGGTCACCTTTGCAGAAGTAGTGAAATGAAATTTTTTCCAATCAAAGTATTTTCCATGGCACAGCACTTTATGGTATGACAAGGGATTTGTAATGAAGTGGACATAGTTTCCCATTAGTTTGCAGGTAAAAACATGACCATGTTTCCTTTGATTTGCTCTGAGGAACTCAAGAGGATTGGCACCAAATTGCAGAGCACATCCCAGGTATGGAATCAACCCATTCTCCAGAGGTGGTTCACCTATTTTTCTGTAAGACACAAATATGTGATAGATATGGAAAATTACACACTGTTTTTTGTTTATACCAGGTTCTCAGTTTTTTACTACTGACTTCAAACTTTAAAACTCTATTATTTAGGGCCGCCTAAGTGGCACATTAGTTAAGAACCAGCTTGGGATGCCAGAGGGCCCCGGTTTGGATCCCACATATGAGGGCCAGTGACACTGCCCTCTACAGCTAAGATGCTGAACAACAGCTCAACCTG